CACAAGGTTGTGAATGACACAGGGTTTTCACAAGGTGATCCTGTTAAATGTAAGTCTATGTTCTCAAACATAATTGCAACACACCTGTTCATCTGAAAGTCTATATGTGGAGACCTTCCCTTAAATGATATATAACAGAGGTCAGGGCTTTAATGGGAGGGTTTTCCTCAGAGGTAGCACTTGAAAGACGGAGAGGAAAGCATCAAACACAACCCTACAACCTGCTGAGACTCCTAATGACTTCAAATGCCAGGCGATAACTCGCTCCTCAAAGTGACCATCGCTCTTTGACACATCAAGCAAATCTCTGACCCTCCTCTTTCTGCACTATAAAGCTTCAATGTGTATTTCCTAGATACATTTACAAAGCCATTACTTTTGTCCGGGGTTGAATGGTCTCTGTGTGTGTGTGTGTGTGTGTGTGTGTGTGGGTGTGTGTGTGTGTGTGTGTGTGTGTGTGTGTGTGTGTTGTGTGTGTGTGTGTGTGTGTGTGTGTGTGTGTGTGTGTGTCTGTGTCTGTGTGTCTGTGTGTCTGTGTGTCTGTGTGTGTGTGTGTGCAGAGTGAGACATGGAGGCAGAGGAAGGAAGGCTGGAGCCGAGATTAAGGTCTGCACAACTGGTAACACAACGGCACTCAGTAGCTCAGCCTCCCATTTGAAGAGAGACGGAACCATCTGTGTGGCACAGGATCTGTTTCCCGGAGATAACGGCTTTTTTAATTTCACAAATACTGTACACCGAGGGAGAAAAAGAGAGGAAAGCGAATGAGAGAGACGTGCCTTCCTTCCCAATCTGTGCCTGCATGCTCCTTTACAACACACACTTTCCCAGACATCCAGAGAAGACTGCTTTGGAGTGGAGGCCTTAATACATCCGTCTGTGTTCCTTTGTGCTTGCTTACTTCCCGCCTGTGATAAAGGCCTCGCGGTGTAGGCAAGAGGGAAATGATATCAGGTAACGGTGATAATATGAACCTTTTTCTCTGCTGACCTGTCCATTTGGATGATTAAAACGTAGCTCAGCGCTACTGTAGATTAGCCCAGCTGCTTCCTGTGTCTGACTCTGATCTGAACACACTTCCTACCATGAAGCAGAGGGGGGTGAAAGGTGCCGCTGGGAGAATAGGACAAGGAAAGAAAAAGGTCAAAAGGAGGTCAGAGGTCAGTGGGCAAGCGAGGAAGTAAAAGGTGAGTAGGAAGAGCAGGAGGTGAAATAGGCACAAGACAAGGAAGGGAGGAGGAGGAAACAGCTTGCAGCATTTTGTCTATACGTACTTAATTCATCATCAATGTTGGGACATTTGTTTCCTATTCCATTCATGATCAAGCGTTTCTGTGCACTAGAAATATGCCTGCCTTTTGAAATGCATCATTGAGAGTGCAATTTGTCAGTGCTGTATGTGCTGAAGTAATTTTTGTAAAAAGAAGTGTCAATTCAACAAATCATTTCAAGGAATTCTCAGCAGTAAATGGTGAGTCTTGAATGTTAAATATTATAAAGTAGTGAGGAGCATGTCACCTGCTCTGCATGCATGAAAATATGAAGAAAAGATGCCTGTGGATGCAAAACAGTGTTATGACAAAAGCTGGGAAACAGAGTTCTTTAAGCATAATAGATTTTTCTACAAGCTGTGAAGAAGGGTCAGGGTTGATGGTGTCCTTTTGCACGTTATATCTTATTCTTGGAAATCCGAGTGGATATGTGCACATGTCGGGAAGCAAACAGGGAAATGGGAGAAAAAGAGTAATTTTTCACACACGCATTTGGGGGTTTTACTTGGCCTCCACCCTCGACTCTGCTCCCACGCTGTGGCGTCAGCAGGCCAGCCATGCAGCGAGTGTGTTTCTCATTCCATCAGATGTTGGGAAGCTGTTCGCTTATCCGCTCTAGTCTCTGACATTCTCCATCTCCCCAGAGAGGCTGGGCAGCCTTGTCACAGTAATGTCAAACACATGTGGAACAGACCAGGACAGAGCAGACCAATTCTCACACACACACACACACACACACACACACACACACACACACACACACACACACACACACACACACACACACACACACAGGAGGAGGCCAGAACCACAGTGGTCTTTCCCACTGTGTATTAGAATAAACAACAGTGAAACCATAGAGATTCAGCGCCGAGATATTTCATTACTCCTTGCTCCCATTATTACAAAAACACACACATTTACTTCTATTTACTTCGTCCCTTTATCTGTGCAGTAAGTACACTTTCATTCTGCTGTGAGCATCAGTGCTGAAAATATAACAAAGTAAAGCAACTCTGTATAACATGTGACTGTCTCCTCAATCCCTATAACATTTTTTTGCTTTGATCATGAACACAAAAGCTCAATATAACCTCACTTTCTTCTTACTGTAGCTTATTGTTCACTGAAACACAAGTTACAAATTAAAAGACAATTTAAAGTGAATAAACACAAACAACTCTTCAAAATGATACCTGAAACATAGTAACATAATGGAGGAAGGCACAACTACAAACTGTTTGGGGCGAGAGGCTCAACCCTTAATATGATTCATACACACAAACAAATATAAATAGACTCCTTACACACGGTGTAACTTTGCATCACTGCCAGAACTTATAAACAACCTGCTGTAAAAATAATACGCTGTAAGAGATAGTAGACGAAGAAAAACAACTTTTTCTGTCTCACATTATAGTGTATTTGTGAGACAGTTTGAATAACAAACGCTTCTATGATTTTTTTTCTCTTCTATGTATATTTGAATATCTTAAACTTCAACTCATAGATGTACAACAAGAGGGGTTACAAGAAGACACGGCTCATTTTCAGAAGGGTCAAATGACAACAGGCACAACACTGTATGTGGTTGTTGACTTTCAGGGAAAATACACAGACACTTAAACACATACTGTACACACACAGGCCAGATGTCTTTGGCTTGTGTCAACCGCTTGGCTTGTCTTGTTTGTGATGGCCCAGGTGTGTGTGCGGTGCTGACCACCTGACCGCCTCGCTGTGTGTTCACAGCTCCCGCCCACCTGAGGCCATCTGCTCCACTCATTAATTAGGAGACAGCCAGTTTCACCTGCACTGCCCGCATTTAGATCACGATAATTACCACATACACACCAAGCACACTCAACAAGCCCACACAATAATACAGTAAACACATAAGATCCTGCAGCATCAAGACCCTGAAAGAGCTGTGTCACCTGCTCCATGAGACACTGAGATGATGATAACTTTCAACATCTGCTGATAAACATTGTCACACGCAAGGGTATATAAAACAATGTGCCTTTGATACCTTGATGGTGAAACATTAGTCATGGTGTGCCTGAAACAGCAGCAATGATTCAGAATAATAAAACAAGAATGCAGGAACCAGTTGAGCAAATGTGTTTCTTGTATTTGTCAGTGAATAGCAGATACTAGGCTGACTCTCTGCCGGCCTGTGGCTTTGCCTGCTGCTGTTTCTCCAGAATAGGTTCTTTCTTTTCAAGTCCTTTGGTATGTTTCCTTCTGCATTTAAAACAGAAGACATCCCGTCCATGCACCTGTGGTGGATGGGAACTGAATAAATAAACTCTTCAGGCTGGGGTCATGATGAATGGCCTGCCTTTTAAGAGGGCTATTTAATGATGAAGTGGGGACATCTGCCTTAGCAGGCGACTGGCCGGGCCCAGCTGACTGATGGGGCGGCCAGCGTTGGAAGGAGCGAGGCTGAGGCGCTCACTTGGTGGTGATGGAGGTATAATGTGCGGTGAGGCAGGGTGTCTGCACTGCGGTTTCACCCCTGCAACCTCCCATCCATTGTTCGAGACTATTATCAACTGTTCAATTATTCAGAAGATATTTACCAGGGCCAATTATACAGGGCTGTGTCCTGCAGAGAAAATGGCTTGAGTGTTTTACTGTTGCACTCACAAGCAGAAGAGTGCGCTGCTGAGGCTGTTCAACTGGGGGTAGAAACCTTGGGATGGACTTGTTTCTTCTCTGGGAGTGTCCGCACCGTTACAAATGGTTGCTATAAATTCTCTACCGATTTAAGCTTTTTAAATCCCTTTGCAGTTGTGTTTATTTCCTTTGGTTGCCAAAGTATTTTCTGTTAAACACTTCCTCGACCTCCTTCTTTAGTGTTTCCACATGCTGGTATACAAACACCCTGCAATCACCAGAAATGGTTGGATTTCACTTTACAGTAAGATTTTTTTCGGGGGTACCATGGAGTTCAGTTTCAGGCTAAATGTCTGAATGCATCCCATCACACCCATCACCTCCATCCACTCCCAGGTGAACACAACACAGGTATAGAGAGCAAATATTTTGTGTCATCATTTTGTCCCAACATCTCTTTGATGTGCAGCACAAACTGATGGAGCAAACAACTTGTGAACCTCTCTGTGTCTTCACCTCTCAGCACATTGTGTCCACTGCTAAAGTGACAAAAACAGTAAATGCATATACTGTTATTAATAAAAATTATATAATTAATATTAGACTCACTTTTGATACTCAATTGTCGACGTCCCTATTTCTACGTCGGTTATAAGCAACATTACTCATAGAGGACTCAATGTTTTTCTTTATAGCAAATACACAGACAACTTCATATTATGTAAAAGGTTTAAATTAAAGTGGATTGAATACAAACAATACATAAATATAAGCTTAATAAAAAAAGGTATTTTAAAGAACATAGAGCAGGTAAATGATCAGTGGCCTGGTTTGTGTTCACCTTGACATTAACACGTCTCTCTAACAGAACTGAAAACACAGTGTTGACCAGAATGTGAGACTTTACATTTGAGATATTTCCATATTTTTTTAACCATTTTAATATGAAACATTTCTTCCATTATAACATTATGTTCTGATCATTTGGGCCTTACGAAATAAATTATTGCAAGCCTTCAGTGAATTTAAACCCATTCACACCAACAACAAGATACATGTGTTTCCATGATTTGCTTGAATACAGTATAGTTAGCAGGTTGTACTTACTTTGTGAAGGTCGGGGTCAAGCTGAGGTAACCGTAGTGGTGATAATCCACACCAAGAAGTTTCTAAAACAGTTTTTTTATCGTCTCACTCCTCATTATTTGGGAAAAAGATAAAGCCTTTGCTAGATAGTGCGGGAAACCATTCAGGTTTTATTCCTTTTTTTTGTTGCTTTGTTTCTTAAATAGTGAGAGGAAGCAGAAGCCAGTCTAACAAAAAAAATGGTGTTTGACTTTCCTTTGGGGGTTCAAAAGAGATATAATAAATAATGAGGTATTTCTCTTTGCAGATATCGAAAAAGGAAGGAATAAAAATCAAAGCAAGGGTTTTTGGATCCTCAATGATGTCTTTGGTTTTGCAGTTTGTGTTTTTTTGAATTTTTGTTTTTTAAAGCAAGACGGTGTTGACGGTGATGAGAAAATCACAACTTGTCCAAGTCATGTAAATCCGCTCTTTTGCTCATTTTAAACCATCCCAGATAAAAGCAACACAATATCAAATACTGCTTGAACTGCAAAAAAAATATTTCTGGTCTTTTTTTAGGCAGACACAATTATTAACCGGTCGCTACTTTGTCCACAAATCCTAAAGTCTTCCATGTGAAAACGCAAATGATAAAGATGCGGGTCCTCTTGTCTGCAGGGTGCGTCTATCATGCCTCCTGTGACAACTTTAAAACCCCTCTTCTTTAGTTCACAGTCCAGACGCAGTCCGTGGTGTCAGGAACAACTTCTTATACATCCGGGGAGATCATTTCTGCTCCTTTTCTGTTGCAAAAACACCGTTTCTACAGGCTGCTCTACTACCACGTTTTCTGTGTACGGTCCTTCCCCGCCGCCGACACGCCGATCCTCCGCCGACCTGTCTTCAGATGGTGCTGTAAAGAGATCCACTTCTCCCGCAGGAAATCACGGTCAGCTCGGGATATTAACACGTTTTCTTTCGCAGCAGTCAATTCACGATTTGAGGTTTTAACACTTGTTTTGTCTTTACTGATGAACGGAGCTGAAGAGCTGACCTGTCCGCCCTTCACCGGCGGCTCTCTCCTCCTCCTCCTCTCTCTGCCTCGCTGTAGCCT